CTTGTAGTTAGTCCCCTCCCCCCCCCCCCCCCCCTTTTTTTTTATTAAGGTGGATATTCAGGCCGGCTTGCACGCATCTCTTTCTTTCAATAACTACTCTATTGGGTGAACTCTATTTTAATGGCTCAGTCTCTTACTCGATGGAGACCTATCCGGAATCTACTCTTCTCCACCACAACTCACCTGAATTTGCTTTTTATCAGATACCCAGTAGTTCTTTTCAGGTATATTTGCTTTCAATATAATAACTTATGTTTCTTTTTGCCCCCCTTCCCCCCCGTTTTTTTTCCTTTCTTGTTTGTTGTGGCGTGTTCACCGGGTTCTAGAGACAATCGGCTGCTCTGTTTTCCTCTCCGATGTAGAACTGATGCTGACTAGGGATTTGACTGGTTCAAGCTTGAGTTTTTCTAAGAATTTATTTTTTTTGGTTGATCAATTTTTGCATTTTTTGATGGGTCCGCTCGAGGCATGCGTTATTTGGTTCATTCCATCAAACCAATCACACTATCTTGTTTTACCACGCCAAACCGTTATAAACCGCGGGGTTTATTGCATCAACCAGTTAGGCATTGTCTTGTTTCACCTGGAAATGATAGCACCAGACTGAATTCTATTTATGACCATATTGATGGTATGATTTCCATGGAACTAGTCAGTGCCCACCTGTTTAGCCTAGTGGAAAAGGGCAAGCCCGTGATGACCTGTTGAGGCTCAAATCTATAGTCTGAATCTCATTTATGCAGCCTGGATTATTGCTGTGCGGCTATTCTCTCACTTGGAATTTAACGGTAAACGCCTCTTGCATCAAATCAAAATTAGTAAATAAAGAAAAGCTACTTTGATGGAATTTCATGTAGTTCACACGTTCAAAGTTGAATGCATCTCCTTGATTATATGTTGCAGCATTCATTTTTTTTTTTATCTAGTATTTCAGCTTTCAGGGTTTATTGAAGAAAATTGGCTTCTCCACTGATTAACAATGAAGAGAAAGCATTTACATCAGTCCAAGCACCCATATAATGCACACCGTAAGCATTACCTCTTTAATTCCCTCCTCTTCTCTTGCTTGTTTATTCCTGATGTTTTTCTTATGTTTATTCTGGAGTGAGCCCCAACAACTAGGTATAAACCTTAGTTGTTTCTGAGCAATAGTCTGTGCTAATATAGTTTCACGTGTTACTTGTCATGAGTTGTTGGCATGTGGAAGTTATATAAGCATTTATGTATATTTTTCACAGCCAAATTGTCCGGGCCCCTGAATGTTCAAGCAAAGATGGGATTGTCAAAAAGTCAATTGTTGTTGCCATTTATGTAGTACGGAATTCAACTGAAGCTACTATCTGTGCATTTGATTGTAAATAACATCCTAATTTAAGTTGTTGAAAGCATGAATAATTTCATTTTTCAAATGGCTATGGATTCCTGAAATATTTTATAGAATTGTATATGCACCAGACATTGTGATAAATATCTTTCTAATATTGTTTTATTGATGTTCCATTTGATAGCTTTTGAGGCCTTATACGGCGGCTCTTGGCAAAGCGTGGAGCTCATAGAAATCAGGGATGGGGCTATGATTCTGCATTTTGACGATAGTCATCATAGAATTAAGGAGAAGGGTCCTTTCTCAAACATTCGAGTGAAGTCGAGGAAGTCAACTTTATCTGATTGCACCAGCTTTCTGAGGCCTGGTATTGATGTTTGTGTGCTTTCATTCTCTGAACGTGCAAAAAGTTCAGAGGAGGGAAATTCAGAACCTGTGGGTGACCTCGTCATGTCACTGCATTACGGAAAGCTCTGTAACTTTGAAAGGATTGTGGACGGTGGACACTTATTACAATCTCGCTTATTGACTGTTTCAAACTATTTTCTTTCGTAAAACATCACAGGACTTTAACATGCTTAAAAAAATTCTTATGGCCTAATAAATACAAATCGTAATGCACAAAACATTGAATTGGTTCCTATAATATATACCACTATCAGCAACGCAACACAGAATCAATTTGGCTGCTTGAAATAGCTGTCATTAAACTTTGCAGCATAGTTAAATTTCAAAAGTTAAGGTACTTGTATTTGAAGTTGATTTCAATTCTCTTTCTCATGCTGGTGTGGGTTGATGCTAGGATAAATTCTATCAAGCGGAAACCTCATGAATCTCAGTGCTCATGCCAATTTTTTGTTAACCTCTATGTCAACCAAGGTCCTCTTGGTTCAAAGAGAGCAACACTCAGTAAAGAAACTGAAGCAGTAGGAATCGACCAAATTTCCATCCTTCAGAAGCTTGACAATGATCCATGTGAAGCAGACAACAACAGACATGAAACTCGGTTCTACCGTTGGGAATTCTGCGAGGACTGTTCTTTAGTGCAAAGAAGTAAACTTTTTTTGGGAAATTTTTTAGCGTATCTTACATGGCTGCTTGCAGCCTCCATTCCGAAGCAAGTTGCATTTGATGTAAGATCAGTACAAAATAAAGTGGTCTACCAAATTGTTGGTGATGATGATGATAACTGTTCACTAAAATCTAATAATCACATAAACTGTGTAACTTTCAAAGTAGAAAACGGTATTTCAACCCCTTATTTCAATCCCTTCTGTGGTCCAGTTGGATCCCATTTGATACTTGTAGTGAGCGAGGCCCTATCAATGACACAAATGGGACTGAAAAACCACCATGCTATGATGTTATGAACTTGCGGCGGTCAAAGCATTGAAACGTACAACCGGATCGTTTTCTTGCCTGAGATACTTCTGCAGAGACGGAAATTGGCTGGGTTAGATCCCTGCCATACACACCACTGAAATGGAAGGAAGAAGAAGAATTGCACTTCCCATTAGCATACCTGTTTGGTACACATGCAGATGCAAGTTGTGCAGAAGAAAACTGGCAATGAAGTGGGAGTTAATTCTCCTAAACTAGAATTCTTGGAAGGTCTCCCTGTTTCCAGAACCAAGACCAACTCAAGGAAGATTAAATCAAATGTGTTTAACAGAAGAGAACACCAAGCTGAGCTTGGAGAGGTTGAATCAGGTATAGATAACAGAAGGGAGCGCCAAAAATCCGCTGTGGCTTACAGAATAAAACACCAAAATCGACTTGGGGAAGCTAAATCAGGCATGGCTAACAGAAAAAAGCACGGAACCCAAATTAGGGAGGTTAAATTGGGTGTGGCTAACAGAATAGAACACCAAGATCAACTTGCTAT